CTGGGTTAATAACTTACTAACTAGTTACAAATTTCCTCCTGACAAAAGTCATGTGAGAGAGTTGAGCCAGGGTATTATACGTAAATAATCCTAAATCCTTTGCGTATAATGAATCTAAGGAAAAACAAATATAATTTTAAACTTTTCATTTGCAAATATACAATATACTGTGTACTGTAAAAGATTAAATTTTATTATAGCGATAGGCCGATTGCGAATTAATAGAGTAGGTAATACAGAGTAGGTTAAATACAAGTATTTTAACTTTTATACGTAACATCGTCATTTAATAATTATAGACTAGAGGTGCAGGCGAATCGTCCCAATGATGCCATAACTTTGCCGTAACGTGCCGTAACTATATTAAATAATTATAAAAAGTTTACGGCATGTTTGCCGTAACTTTTTATAATTATTTAATATAGTTACGGCACGTTACGGCAAAGTTACGGCACCTCTATTATAGACCATATATCCTAATGAATTCTTAATTTAAATTTAAAATTTTCATATACAGTATATATATTAAATAATAGAGACCGTTGCACATGATTGAAGATTTCGAAAGAATAAAATCTCAACGAGTTAACGAGATCGTAGAAGATTTTACGTAATTATATCAGATATATAAACTTTTTCCCATGATCTTATACTGTACGTATCACAAATTTTTCTGCATAATAAAATATTTAAAGAAAATTTAGATACGTACGAAAATGATTTATTGATTATCGTTATCCAAAATACGATGCTAAAATATGATGCTAAAATATGATGATATAACAAGTTCAATGTCCGGTCAAAGAGTACAAAGAGAAAATCTATAACTCACGTTATGCTACTGGATAGCTGGAATTCAATTTCCGATGGTACTATTTAGTTCTTAGCAGGCTAAAGCCAGATAGCGATAGTACCATCGGAATCGAATTCCATAAGTAAAACTAGAAGGTTCTACAAGTCTCGGGTATATACGTACTCGCGTTCATAATAATAACTTTGAGTTTCTACAAACAAGAAACGAGTCTAAATATTCATAAAGAGTTAGCATAACAATAAATTTGTTTTACATTATTCAAAAGACGACTTTCCCAGAGCGAATACGTATGAATAAATAACGAACATATATATATATATCATAAAAAATATGACATTCTCTGATCGGTGACTAGGCGATCTTATATCAGTTTGTTATTGTTATTAAAATTCATGTAACATATTACGAATTTTGATATTCAATGTTTTAGTGGAAAAAGTTTGTGCTTTTGTTGGTGGTACATTTTAATAACAATTATTACAATTATTACCGTTAACGTTTCGGATTTTTGCTGTACTAATAACAAGAAATGAGGTTATGAGAATATCGATAATTAGAATATCGCTAGCGCTAAATGAGTATGTATGCGCATAATCTCTAACCAGGTGTCTCTGGCCTTTTATTGCTATAGCTACTGGATTGAATTTACACGAATCAAAATGAAAAAGTCTTGTCTCGTGATAATGACTAGTGCTTGCTTGGTTAAATTTCTTATAATGTACCAGTGCTTAAATTCATACAAGTACATATACGTACACAGATAAATTTTGAATGTTTACTTGATTTTTTCTTAGCCTATTTTGTAATACTATTTAGAGAAACATATAAAGAGCGATTGATTTCTTTGGATATTAGTAGAAAAATGGTTGCAATTATTTATATTACTGTAACAAACAATTATCTGATGGTCACTGTTTATGGAATTTAAAAAATTATTTTTAAATGAATTGAAATCATGCTTCCATTGAATTCGAATATGAGCCTTAATTAAATTTCACATTGTGAGAGTGTTAGATATACCGTCTTTTCTTGAAAATTTTTTTAATATTTTTGGTTTTTTTTTTTTTTTGTTTGTCATTCCTTTTTTTATACAATTAAAAAAAAACCCCCCATCATCCTGTAAATTATAAAGACAATCTAACAGTGTCAAACGATTGATATACCTTATCCTTTTTTTACCTTTTTGTTTATGAAGCGAATGATACTTTAAAAGTCCTTTTATTCTCTTAAATCACTAATATGCCCTTTAATCAAATCAAATTCTTATTATTTACATTTCTTTACATAATCGCAAAGATAAGTACTACTCACGGTCAAGTAACTTCTCCTGCTGCCGTTCAACCAAGCCCTAGTGCTGTCGCTCCTAGCCCAATTACTACCGCTCCTAGCCCAATTGCTACAGGTGACATTACCGCATGCTCTACTTGTGATAAAGTAAAAGCTGCTTGTGGTTCAAAGTTTAGTCTTCCTCAAGTAAACTCTCAAGGCACTTATATTGCTACAGGTAAGATATACTATGATTTTTTTCTTTTATTTAATCCTCGTTTTGTATTTTTAATTAATTCATATACATATATTTTTTGTTAGATAAATGCTATTGTAATGATGATGTGTATAATAATTTGTTTCAATGTTTGATCTGCTGTAATAGCGCAAATGTGGGAAATAGTACTATGGAGAGTCTTGACCATTGGAAAGACAGTTGCATTTCCCTAGGTTATCCATTCAACCAAAATAATGCGACCCAATCTCCTTCAAACACAACCGTTGACCTACCAACAAATAATAATAATGTTAATTCATCTAATTCATCTAATTTATCTGATTCTGATGATGCAAAACATATGATAGCCATTGCTGGATGTTCCATTGCTTTGCTCTTGCTTTTGATAGGCCTTGTCATTATCATCAGAAGACATCGCAAAGCGAGAAAAGTCGGTGACTATAATATATCCAACCCCACAAAAACAAAATCATTAGATATACTTGAAAATTACAATCGTAAAACAAGATATTCTAATCGTAGTGTTGATCAATTCAAAGAAAATGATGTAAACCAAAATGATGCCGATATGGTCGATATGGTCGATATCAGCTTAAATGACAATCAACAACAACCGACCTTTTCTCCCTCTTCTCCTAACGCTAATTATAATAACAATGAAATTCCCCAAGAATTGCCTCAAGAATTTGTTCAATTTGATGATAACGGCTATAACGGTAACGGTCATAACGTTAACGGTCATGACGTTAATGATCATAACGTTAACGATCATAACGTAATCGGTTATAACGTTAACGGTAACGGTAACGGTAACGGTAACGGTAACGATAGTGACTACCCTCACGATGATCATGAATCTATTGGACAAGCAATAATTCCTATGGCTGTAGTCCCTGAAATTATTAACATAATCCCTGAAGTTCATATCATTGACGAAAATTCTATCAATTTCAGTGATAGCTTCGATAACCAATTTTATTATTCTAGTG